GCACTATCCAGTGCGCCACCGGGCCGGCCCCTATATTGGCATATTTTGATTTCATATTTACAGAAATATATGGCTGTAGGTCATACAGTATATTTTGCCTGCAATTCTAAGAGATTCTAAACAGGCTGTTAGTAACTGGAAACTATGATCTAAACATGGCTTTGTATTTTGTTTGATGTCCCTTTTAGAGCTGATGTTTCTGGAAACAAGTGCACTCACAGGGGAGAATGTGGAAGAGGCTTTTGTGCAGTGTGCAAGAAAAATACTCAACAAAATTGAGTCAGGTAAAAGCCTTCCCATCAGTAAACTTTTCTTCTGTATGTTTAAATTCCTAGCTCAGTGCTATCATCTTTTAATATTGTCAGGAGTGATTTGGTCGCAGGATATTCACCCTGCACTTGCCAGCCTAAAGTGGCCACTTAAGGGCTTGGAGGTCGTGCCCGCGAGGCTGGGGTGTCAGGGCAGCTCCCGCGGAGCTGAGACGGGAGGGCAGACCAGCTGAGCTGCGGGGGCAGCCAAGCCTTCAGGGCGGGTTTGCTTTCAGAAGTACAGTTGTCGGTGGGCTGGTCACTTCAAGTAGAACAATAGGCCTCTGTCCACACTCTGTCTGCAACATGTGATTCTGTCGGACTGGGGCTGTCTGTCGTGACCAGAGCATCAGCGACGCAGTGCAGTGTCGGTGCTTGCAGGTTGGGCCTTGCCGAGCCGTGCAGTCTCGAGTCATTTTACTTCTGACGCTCTCTGAGTGCGCCTCTGTTGTATCTGTCACGTTGTTGCACTGGCTGCTTCAGTAAAAATCATTTTAAATCACCCTAATATAGGCAGCTGACAAAATACTGCGCAGCTGTCATTTACTAAAGTTGATTTTGATTTAAATATCACCCAAATTATAGGTGGACATTCACCTTTTAATTAATTCATTTAAGTATCTGAGTGCCGGTTTGTCAGGTGCTGAGATACAAATATGAGTAAGTCACAATGGTCACCCCAAGAAATGGTCCTTTGTGGGAAGCAATCAAAAGATAATTGTAACATCGTGAGGTCGATACAGTAATTGAGAGATGCGCAGGATCTCAGGGTAACTTAAAGAGGAACCTGTGCCAGCTGGAGGGTGG